CATAATTTTTCCTTGTCAAGAATTCATGGCCTCTTCATTGATTTGGCATATGTCAAGAGGACAAACTAGTCTCTCAGTAAATCAGACATATGGAGTTGTGCGAAAATTGAAACGTTGACGGCATGTTCAAGCTAAGATAGCCCAGATGACCTGATATGAGTTGATGTTGGACGAGTTTTCAATGGAAGTGAGCTGCTTCCTGCGCTGGCCGCGAACTGTCCTCTTGATCCCAAAGCAAAATGATCGAGACAGTCGTAGAAATCGATTCAGGAGGACAAGTAGCAACGTTTCAGCAATATTCCCACCATTAAATGACAGATCTTCTTACTATTGATTAGCCTTCTGCTTCAGTGATCGATCAAGCGAAACCCAGTTTTGGGTTTGTGAACCTCCTACACGGAAGAAGCGCTGAACACAGACTGGGTCAAAATCAGTGCAGAAGTGTGGACCGAACGAGATTTTATGCTCGTAGATATAACCAACGGCGTTTTATGAGCGTATGTTTCGCTTGGACGCAAGTGTCGTCAAATATTGCCTGATTAGTACCCATTCATCTCACAAAATGGCTACTTTTTCAGTACCTCTTGAAGGCGTTCCGTCTCCAAAGCTTACCAATAGTTAGGACACGCTTCATATCATGTTGGGGCTTTTGACGTTTTTTTGAGCACGGCGTTCTTCTTGATCAAGCCCATTGTTGGGCTATTCGCGAGCAGTATCACTTTGGTTTCTGCATTTTGCATTACTACTATGTATGTCGCGAAAAAGCTACCTTTATGATAGAAATGACGTCATAGAGAAACGAAGGTCATTAACCACCACATGGTTTATACCCAATTCTTTCCTCAGTGTGGCCTAATTGTTACCTTCTTTTTTTTGAATGGGAGTGCTCTTATGTACTAACCTCATATGGTCTGGTCGTATTCGCTTCGGCTTTTATCGCCCGAACCAGCGCAGCTTTGCCATTCTCGATTGGGCTCGACGTGCCACTGGAACCCATGGACCTTCCCTTGAACGACACCTTGTAAAAAGGTTTTTGTATGGCATTAAAGGCAGTGATCCCGATGGTTGAAGGGCGGCGCGATTCTGATGAGACCATACGTCATTGGTGGGCGAGACCCCTTAGCGCTTGGAAGGTGTGGTTGGGACCGCCTCCTAACGCCCATCCAGCAATGACGTTGATGACGTCATCATAATCGCGCCCCCTCCAACCATTGTGATCACTGCCTTTAAGTTACATAGGTAATCAGCCACCTGCAGTTAATTTTCATTTTCGATTTTCTTCAATCTAGCTCTCTGATTCCTCCGAAAACGGATTCACATTTCTGATTGGAAATCGATTATTGACTGTGTCAACTTTGTTGCGCGAAGGGACTCTCACTCTTGTGATACTTTGTGTGTTTGTGACGGGGTGTGGAATTGCCCGCTCTTGAGAGTTCAACAGTGTTAACCTCCGTCGTTATCAGCGTTGTCAGCGCCATATCAGCTGCGTCGAGGACACCTTTAGCAATGACTTTTTCCAGATGGATCCTTTACTGAACGGGTCATATGTACATTACGGTATGGGATTGCCCACCTCAGCGTACGCCGCTGCCGCAGGTCTCTCCTCACAGAATTATAACAGGTGGGTCAAAGTTTTCGTTCTGTATCATGTCTTTTGAATAATTATGTGACGATTTTGTTCGCTGGGGCTTTGAGTTGCATTGACATGAACCTCCGAAAGTATGAGATGAAATGCTGCAGGAAACCGTTTTCAACAGAATCACAAGGATTCTTCGTTAGTTAGCGATATAATAAAAACAGATAAAGTATAAAAGAATGTCCTCTTAAATGGCACTTCATTAATGAAACTAGATGTAA